CCCTCCCTCCCTCCCTCCCTCCCTCTCCCTCCCTCCCTCCCTCCCTCCCTCCCTCCCTCCCTCCCTCCCTCCCTCCCTCCCTCCATTACCCTCCCTCCCTCTTTCCCTCTCCCTCCCTCCCTCCCTCCCTCCCTCCCTCTCCCTCCTTTTCTCTCCTCCTTCCCTCCCTCCTCACTTCTCCTTGCAGGGCATGCCTGCCGGTCATCCGCAACCAGCTCGGAGCTACGGGCAAGCAGGTGAGCTCGTCGAGGCATCAGCTACTGGGTTGACTCCTACTGTGCAGGACAACTTGGACGAGGAAACGTGCCTGTCCCAGGGAGACAAACTGGACCCCACGGCGTTCCTGGTGCTTGCTGCTGGCACCTGAGCGCGATGTCCTGACTCTGCTAGCAGGCGCCACCATGGTTGCTGTGTCGGGAGGCTGTCTGCCTCATCAGATCTACCAGCAGCAGCACATGATGGCCCGGCCTCCTCCACAGCAGGTGCATGACGAATGGAGGAGAATGAAAGAGCTGCTGGAGGGGAGAGGGCAAGGGAGGATGAGCGAGGAGGATGAACGAGCAGGACAAGAGAAGGGGACACGAGAGGGGACCAAGGATGGGAGCGGATAGGAGCGAGAAGGATAGGAGCGAGACGAGGAAGAGGAGGATGAAGAGGAGGGTGGAAAGGTGCGTGTCTTGTTTGACATGATGTGGCAGATGGGGGGGATGGGAAGTTATGCTGGGATGGCATGCGCTCCTCCTCAGAACAAGGTTGTGCCTTCCAAGTCAGCTCCTCCTCAGCTCCCTCATCACATGCCCAACAACCAGCAGAATCCCAACGGATGAGCAGATGCTGGGCTGAAGGGCATCGGGTGGAGATGCAGCTCGAAAAGGGCACCACACACATCAAACTCTAGTCTACTTGTTATTTTTTCAATTTTTTCTCTTTGGTGGTGGAAGATCGAGATCGGACTGATCTCGTTGCTGGATGGGGTTCGAGTTGGTTGTATTGTTTTTCTTCCCATACTTCTCCCCACAAAAGGAAATTTTATTGTGCTGGGAGATACGCTTTGCAAGTGAAATGACGTAAATTTGGATAACAGTAAATCAACATCTTACGATCTCTGATATCCACAACCTTTCCTCCATTGCTCTCAACATCTCTACAGCCAATTATCCTTCATGCCTTTTCTTCACTGCTGATACTGAGACCCTCACTTGTAGAAAGGCGAGTTAGAAAAGCTTCCTGCGTTCTGGTTCTCCGTGCTACAGGGGTCCAGAGTTACCTGCGGCCTGATCAGTGTGTGAGGAGAGCTTTGGATCACGTACAAGGGAAGGGGTTGGGTTGTAGCAGAGCTGAGCAAACTGCTCGATGTGCTCCCAGTTCTGACACACGTCGTTATCATCACATCTGCCTGTCCTCCAACCGTCTCACCTCCTCCGGGCCGATGTAAGGGCCATCAAGAAGCTTCGTGGTCTGCAGACGGGCGAGTAGCTGCAACAGAAGAAGCGCAGCAGAGCAAACACAACAAACACAGACGTCAGCAGCGAAACGTGCAAGAACTTCGAGGAAAGACCTGAAACTGAACGACAAGTCAGTCACTATGAAAGTGCTTGTTCATGAAAAGCACATTCCACATCTTAGGAATGTTATCATGGGTAATATAAACTTCTGAGATGCAACAGTCGCATACTAGCCAGGCCCATGAGATGCACAATGACAGAACAAGGAATGAAAATGTTGCTGATGACTGGGTATCTGACAGCCAAATGTTTTCACAATGCAAACAAACAGCATTGTTTTGATCTCAACACAAGCTCTTTTATCCGAGGCGTCTATCCCTTCTACCACACCCTACCCTTCTACCACACCCATCGCTCTCGAATCATGCCATCTGCTCTACCTTGCCTCCTCCCCATTCCAACGTTTCACATCGCTTCAACTCCTTTCGACCATAATCTCGGTCTTGCGATGGCTTCCCGATCTAGGTTTCTCCTATCCCATCTTTCCTGCCCCCCTCTCCCTCTGTACGCCATCCCTGTCGATGTTCGTAATCGATGGTGAATCATGATGATTATCAGAAATTCAGACTACAACATCATCAACACATCATTCAACGTCAAACTGTCTGACTGCATAACAACAGGACACATGTGGCAGGATCAGGCTCAAGAGGCGAGCAAGTTTGTGATCGTACCATAACTTCCGTATTTCCCCCCCCCCCTTTCTCCTCTCTTCCCGGTCCTTTGCTCATGGCCTCTCCGCGCTCGTTCTTTCCCTCCCTCTCTCACAGTCTCGCCATTTTCTCCTTCTTCGCTAGCGGTTCGGGCAACGAGGCTCACCATGTGACGGCGGTAGGGTCTGAGTCTATTTCCGGTTGCCAGCCTGGATCGGAAGATTATAATACCGTTACATCCGTTATTATATTGAAGCTTCCCCCGGGCCCGGCCGGCACTCGCTCCGAGTGGCACTCCAGTGATTGTGTGACTGAGTTTCGAGATGATGTCGCGATGAGACCGTAGGATACAGCAATGGAAGGCGGGAGAAAGCGAAGATGGAAAGCGCTCGGAAAGAAGCATGAAACAGTGAAGACATGATCTCCTGAGCAAGAGCAGATGGATGGACGAGGCACAGCGAACGCTAATGCAGCCGATTGATCAAAGCAATTGGATCAAGAAAGACCATCGATATATGAATTGAGTAATGCCGCAATGACGCGAACCTACGGAGGGTATGCTACTATATTCGGCATGAATCATCTCTCCATAACAATGCGAACACTTCCTCTGCTCATGGTGGGTTGTTGTTGTCTGGGAGAGAGAAGCTCTATCTCTGTTCGCAAGTACCTGCAGGAGGTTACTTGCAAGACGTTCCTCGTTGACCATGTGCGGGGTGGTGCTGATAATCCAACCGTACATGCAACAAGACAAGGGAGAGAGAAACGGAATGCTGAGAAACTGAACAAGAAAAGAAGGAAGACCATCCTGCAGAAGGTATCAGATGTAACAGCGAGAAACAGTGTATTGAAGCAACATGTAGCGAAAACTCCAATCGCAACTCACACAAGAAAAGCAGGTAACCCGATTGTGCAGAATTTGCAGATGATATGTGCATAAGCTTCTATTTGTTTGCCGTTGCAGCACGAGCATCATTCCAGGCATCCGTTGGAGACTCTGTTCGAAATGTTTGTGAGAGAACAAGTTCTGCTTTTGCGCGGTGTTGAAAGGATCTATTGCAGAAGGAAGATCCAAGATTCGGAGAGCCGATGCCAAGAAACATTGACAGTATCCTCACTGAAATCTGTTTTCGGGCAGAATGACTTTATTTCAAATCAACAGTGTTGGAGGAACAGCAAGAACTGCTCGAATTGAGAGACAACATCTGTTGTCCACTTGCTGTTGGAGAAATCTTGAACGACCTGTTGTGGTATCATGCAACAGAATTGAGATGGAATCTCAAGCTCAGAGTTTCTCAGCACCATCGAGGACTGTTCAACTTATCCCATATTCAAGCGCGGAGCTCGAGTGGTGAAAGCTTATACTCGGCTTGTTCGTTGTCTCAAATTTTCTCAGGTGATGGGCTTGATGGGCTCTAAGCAACTGGACCTTGTTGTGTATGAAGTTTAGACGCAACTGTATGTGCTTGCATATTGACTGGCATCTCACAGAGCCGCCAAAGATGTTGGAGAAAAAGGCGCGAAAACGGTCAGATACTCTCACACTCTCGTCCTTGTTGTTTGGGTGGCTCATGTCGGATTCAGATTCTGAATGAGCTGCCAAAACAATGTAAGACACACAACGTTCCTCTCGTTTGGGTTGAAAAGTCCGAGGTTGATGCTGCAAGTCAAAGATCCAAAAGCTGATGATGATGATGAAGGACATTGCGAAAGCTTGCGGTTCCAAGAAGCCTGTGGCTTGCATCGGGGTTTGATGTCTCTGTCAAGCGGAATGAGCAATGATTGGTTCACAGTTAGTCGGCTCTGAAGGAACACAGTTTCTTGGAGCAATCCGGTCCATCGTCTCGAGAGTGTTCAACGGTGAAACAACACTACGCGAGTTTACTTCAACTGTTAAAAGATTAAACCCAGCTAAGCAATAGATACAACACAGCTGTAAGCTCAGTTCTCTCTACTGTAGTCGTCAACTCCCCGATGTCCGAATCGGCTTTGCACTGAGAATTGAGGGATCCCTTACGCTATGAGTGTCTTGGCAGCATTCATACACCAGCGCTGAAAAAAGCATCCTTATCTTGTGTTTCTGATCCTTCCTTCCATGGATCTCATGGATGGCCGATTCGAGACTCTCACAAACATCTTTCTCCAGCTGCTGACTGGGCACGTCGTTGTCACCCATCATCACACCATACTGGTATACAAGAGCCCCGTTCTCTTTCTTCTTCTGCTCTGCTGCCGCAGCATACAACAGAAGTTCTTCCCCCTCGTTGATACTCCTCTTGGACACGACGACAAGAGCGTCTCCATCATCCACCAGCTTCAGCTCTACATTCGCTGCTTCTTTTGATCCACAGAAATTGATCATGTCGATGATCGGCACCAGCGCAATCGTTTCTTCGCTGGTGCCACCTTTCTCAGCAGGCAGAACAATCCTCATTCTCCTAGAAAGCTGAAGGATGAAAGCATGCAAGAATTCGGGCCAATCAAAATCTCCCTCCCAGTCGAACGAAGATGATGCAGAATCTCCATTCTTGTGCTTGAGCCATGCGTCTCGCAGAACCGTCCTCTTCTTCCTTATGGCACTCACGTACGGTATGTCACTGAACAACACCAAGTCCTCGTTCGAGGCATAGAAAGGATGCAGACCATCAAGTTCTTCTCTTCCGGGAAGTGCCTGCAAGTATCTCTCATACTGACCGTCACTGCCTAGTTGGAACTGCTTCGCAATCTCTGCAGCAAGGGTTACCTCCTGCTGTTCAAGACCTGCCTTCTTGCCCGGCGCTAGGAACAAGCTTCTTGGAACCCGCAGAAGCTCTTGTCCCCTGCGGATCGAGCTAGACGCCCCGACCCCTCTCACTTTCTCTCCTCCGTGATCGAACTGCCGGATTGCGATGGACTCGGCTTGTCCTCCGTTCCTCTGCAGCCATTCCAAGAGTTGATCGGATTCCAGTCGAATCTCTTCCTTCTTATCCATCCTTCTTCTGATGATCCTTTGCCGCACTTTGCCAGAAAACAGTACAAGAAGAGTAAGGAGGATGAGGAGGAGAAGAACGGCCGTTCTCCTCCTCCTGTGCCCCCTCAACGCGTCCTCTACCACCTCCTTTACACAGTTCATCGCTCCATTCCGCCGCTGCAAATCTACCCCTACCCCTACCCCTACCCCTACCCTTTTCCTACCCCCTTCTTCTACTCGATGTTGTACCAGAAATACCCCACCTCTCTCCCCAACTGCACTGTCGGAAGTTTGTTAGGCCGGCCAAGTAAAACATGTCGGACGCGGCCCGGGCCGGCCGGGCCCGGCGGGCCGGCACACTGTCGCTATATCCGATGATCGCCGCCCGCGGCCGTACTACGGTACGGTCGGACTGAGGCCGCCGGGCCGGCCAGGCCGCCGCCCGGCCCGGCCCGACCCGGTGACCGGGCCTCTGGCCAGTCCCGGACGCCGGGTCCAGCCTCAGTGGCAGCCGCCGGTAGGCTACCGTAGTACTACGGTACCAGCTGAGCGTCACCGGAGTCCAGGCTCCTGATCAAGTTGTCCTGGAATTTTCAACTTGACTTAACTTTGAGAAGATCACTCCGTCACTGAGCTTAGTACGGTCGGACTCCGCCCCGCCGTTCCGACTCAGTCACGCCGCGGCGCCATCACTGTGCCACGCCGTGACGTTGGTGGCATAGCCCGGCCCGGCCGGGCCCGGAATGCCATTCGGCGATGATCAGCCTGCCACACTATAAGTAGGCTGGCCGGCCGGTACCGGCCTTATGTGTGTTAGAAGGATAAGCCTACCCCTGTTTTCTAGGTTCTTTTCAACGGCAGTTGGAAGGTAGGGTCATTACAAGTGATTTCGAAGCTTGAGATTCAAAATCTTGAATGTAAAACAAAGTTTTAAGATCATCCTGATAAAAAGGTTATACATTCTTTTAAACAGTACAAGAATTATATGCTCAACAAAAATAATCTTATATAAGTTTTAAGATTTTCTAACAATTATTTAAAAGGGGGCAGGCTCTGAGGGATGTGACCTCTGTGAAGAGTAGATGCAGGGGTGGTTGAGCCTGGGGGAACTAATTTTACCCGGTTGGGTGGTTATAAAGGGGGTGTAGATGTGGGTAGGGTGGGTCCTGAATATATGAAGTGAAAGGGCTACAGTAGCAGTCGTTCGATGAATTCATAGGGTGGGTCTAGATTTTGGGGGTAGTCAAAATGCTGGTGGGTAGGGGTAGTAATACACATGGGAGGGTAGTAAACACACAAGCAAGGGCATGCACGCATCGTTGCGGGGTGGGAAGGAGGGAGGACTTGAATTGGGATAGAGGATGATGGGGAGAAGGAGAGAGGAAGGAGGAGATCGATAGTTTGTAGCAGTAGGTAGGTGCAAAAAGGATCGAAGACATCGTTGTCATGTAATCGAAACTGTTTTGGTGAAAGCATGAAAGGCGATTCGTGCACAACAAGTCCATTATTATTCACGCTGTATCTTTCTCGGAGAAATGCAGAAGAGAAAGCCTTGAATGTATCATTGGGAGATCCCGTAAGAATCTAGCGGTTGTTGATCGTACGATACATGTTTACGTTCTTGTGCCTCCGTTCGGAAACAAGATCCAGATCCTTGCAAGGCACTCTACTGATCTAGGATCTGCAGGAAATGCCCGCAGGTGTCTCGAAGCAGCACTCTCTTGAAGGAAAGAAGATCCTCGTCAAGCAGGATGATCCTGAGTACATCAACCGTCCCAACATCGATGGTGCTAAGTACATGATCAATGGAGAAATCCGCAAATGGGACGGAGCCATCCAAACTGTTTATTCCCCCATCTTCCTGGAAGGGACGGAGGAGAAGGTAGGAGGGTCGAACTCATGTGGTGTGGTTTGACCAGGATGTGCAGGTTCAGATTGGTTGCCAGGCGCGACTGACGCCAAAGGAGTCGTTGGAGGCACTCGATGCTGCCGTTGCCGCATGGGGGAACGGAGCGGGAGAGTGGCCGCAGATGTCTTTGAGCAGCAGGATCGCGTGCATGGAGAAGTTCGTGGAGCTGTTGAAGCCGCAGCGCGAGATCATCGTGAAGGTTCTCATGTGGGAGATCTGCAAGGTCAGTAGAAGGCGGTTGTGTTTGTTTCAAGGATGAGATTGTTGCGACAGGTTCGGCCGGATGCCGAGAAGGAGTTTGATAGGACAATGGACTACATCAACGCCACCATCAAGGCTGCCAAGGAGCTTCACAATGCAGAAAATAACCTGACAGAAGAGTCGGGAATTCTTGCAATGGTTAGGATGAATACATCCCGCGAAGATGATGTTGATGGTTGTTACGATGATGATGATGAAACACGCGATTGATGATTAGGACGTTGAGGTTGTTGAATGATGATGATGATGATGATGATAACATTGACGGGGGTAATGATCGATGGATGAACAGATCCGTCGCAAGCCTATCGGAGTGATGTTGAACTTGGGGCCATTCAACTATCCCTTCAACGAAACTTACACCACTCTGATCCCCGCTATCTTGATGGGAAACACTTGCGTCATGAAGGTAACAATCACAACCACGATCATTCTCTCTGATAAGATTCTCAGCTCCCGAATGTTGGCTGCCTAGCTCACATCCCGACCATGGAGGCGTTTGCCCAGTGCTTCCCTAAGGGAGTTGTCAACTTTATCTCAGGTATCTTGTTCTTGTCCCTTCTCTCTTCTTCTTTCCCTCGTCCTCCGATGTCTTCCCTGCCCCGGACCATGTCCATGAGTGTGACTCTCAATTTGAAGGAGCCGGACGCGAGACAATGCCGCCCATCATGGAGACTGGCAAGGTAGGAGGAGGAGGAGGAGGAAGAGGAAGAGGGAAACAGAAGTGAGGATCATGGTGGTTATATCATCTTAGGTTGACATCTTCGCCTTCATTGGAGGCTCCAAGGCAGCAGATGCTCTCATCAAGAACGTGCCCAACCCGCACAAGGTGAGGAGAAAATTTGAAGCCATGAGGATAGAGAAAGGAGGAGGAGGATGCTGTTGAGAAGGGGGAGGAGGGGGAGGGGGGAGGGGGAGGAGGAGGAGGAGAAGGGATATCAGAGACTGATACTTTGCAAAGCTCAAACTTTGCCTTTCGCTCGAAGCCAAGAACGTAGCAATCGTGATGGAGGATGCGGATCTTGACAATGCGGTTTCCGGTGATACTGACAACCCTTTCTGTTTCCTGCTGGATTCATCTCCTCTTTCCGCCTCATTCCTTGCTTCCTCCTACTACTCCTGCTCCCCCTTTTGCTCTGTCCTCACCTTTCCTCCTCCTCCTCTCTGTTCCTTCCCTCCCTCGCTGTCTACCTTCAGCGCCTCACTGCTTGATCAGAGTGTGTTCTTGGCTCTCTCTCCTACAACGGGCAACGATGCACTGCCCTGAAGCAGCTTATGATCCACACAAGCGTCATGGACAAGTTCATGGAGAAATTCGTCGCTGCTGTAAGAGACTCCTCCTCCTCCTCCTCCTCCTCCTCCTCCTCCTCTTGCTCCTCCTCCTCCTCCTCCTCCTCCTCCTCCTCCTCCTCCTCCTCCTCTTCCTCCTCTTGCCTCTTTCTTTGACTTTATCGCAACAGGTTGGAAGCCTAAAGGCGGGTCTTCCCTGGGAGGAGGGAGGTAAAGGATACTGCTGTCACTTGTGCGTCATCGCTGATCAATCTCGCTAGTTCAAATCACTCCTCTTCCTGAGCCCTCCAAGCCTGAGTGAGTCAACAGCCCCAACTCCTCCTCCTCCTCCTCCTCCTCCTCCCCTCACTCCTCGTCTTCCTCCTCCTTGCGTACTACTCATCTTTCTTGCCTTGCATGCCTATAGTTCACTTCTCTTCCTCTTTTCTTCGTCCTGCTCGCTTCTACATCTCCTGCCTCCATCCCCTCATTCTCCTCCGTCAGGTACCTCGCCGAGCTTCGCGCTGACGCCATGGAGAAGGGAGCAAACGTTGTCTCTCCCGGCGCAGCTCAGGGCTGGGGACACACCATGGTCTTCCCGTCCATCGTCTACCCTACCAACATGGACATGCGAGTCATGCAAGAGGAGCAGTTCGGCCCTCTGGTCTCTGTCGGCACCTTCAGCTCCATGGAAGAGATCGCCGACTATGTCAAGCAGTCCAAGTATGGACAGCAGGCAGCCGTCTTCACCTCCTCCGATGTCTCCAACCTCGGTCCCCTTCTTGACGTGCTGGTAGGATGAGACGATGCTACCTTGCAGATCTGACGCTCTCCTCCTCCTTCTCCTCGTCCTCGTCCTCTCCTCCTCGTCCTCCTCGTCCTCCTCCTGCCTTCTTCTTTGTTTCCTTTTTGCCTACAGGTGAACTGCGTGTCGAGGGTTAATGTCAACTCGCAGTGTCAGCGAAGCCCCGACAGCTTTCCCTTCACAGGTAAGACGATCGATCATCGATTGCTTCCTCCTCCTCCTCCTCCTCCTCCTCATTTTTGTTGTTCCTCAACTCGTTTTGTTTCCTCCTCGATTCCTTTGTCTCCCATTCCCCTGCTTACAACAACAAATAATTCGTTGATTGTTGCAACTGATTATTGCTCTTCGTCCTGTTCTTTCTCCTCCTCCTCCTCCTCCTCCTCCTCCTCCTCCTCCTCCTCCTCCTCCTTTGCTCCTCGCTCACGTGGCTGAAGGTCGCAAGTCGTCAGCCCTCGGAACTCTTTCGGTCGTCGAGGCTCTCAAGGTCAGAGACATCAAATGAATCTCATGATGGAGATAATGACGACGACAATGATGATGATGACAATGATAATAATGACGATGATGATGACGACGACGACGATGATGATGATAATGACAATGATAAAAATGACGATGATGATGACGACGACGACGACGATGATGATGATGATAATGATGATGATGATGATGATGATGATGATGATGATGATGATGATGATGATGATGATGATGATGATGATGATGAAATTGGAGACA